CTAGAAACGTTGCGTCACGTGGTCATGTGACTCGCTGACGCAACAATATGATAATATGAATGTGCCTACTGGTTGCACACCGTGAAAACGGCTATTTTTCCTCACAGACTCTTGTATCGTGTTTAAAAAGAAAGAAAACCACAACTAGGACATAACGATACATCGAACTGTCGATAGGTTTTGATTGTGAATGTCCCGATAGCAACGTATTGATGGTAAATTTAAAAATTAATAACAATCTTCGATGGTATCCTGACCTTTTTATGTTTTCTATAGTTGGAAAACTTAATTATTTTCTTCCATTCTGTTTGTTTTACTTAAGCCGTTTTTCGGTAGTTTCCCTTTGCTTTAGATTAATTTTACAGTCTCTATTCACCTGTGAGCCTAAACGCGCGCGTATATCACACCCTCCATTAGCAGTGTTGCTCCTGCAATGAGCTGAGCCCGTATTGAACAATTAACGATTAATATAATTTCGAATTTACTACGTGTATCTTCATGAAAATTGGCAGTCTTTTATTAAACGTGAAAGCATGTTGTATCTAAAAATATCTTTTTTTTATAAATAAAATACTTGCGTGAAACTTGAATTTCATGAAAGTGATAACATATACTTATTTTCATTTTAAAGTTTATATAAGTTATTTGCATAATCTCTAGGACCTCCTGTATTAATATAAATGTTTTCAGTAACATTGCATGTTTTATCTGTAGATTTCTCTACACAAACAATACATACTTCAGCCTTCTATTTCTGATGAATATCTAGCAGATGGGGCTATTAACTGATCTAGTAGATTTTTATAGAACCAATAAACACACCAAAATTTCAAATGGTGGTGGGAAAAATACTGAAGTGATGCCTGTGCTTAGCAAAAATGATTTGGTACATAATGAATGGCCTAGGTTCAAATGCATATTGAAAGACACGTATAAAAACGCGAGCTGAACATTGATTTAAATGGATTATTAAACTGCACGGTGATCAATTTTCTAATATGTTAAAATTGTGTCAAATAGCTTTCTGCTTTTGTGTAAAAAAGCGTTGATTGTGAAAGAGCTTTTTCAGTACAAAACAGGCATAAGACAAAATTCAGCTGTTCTATGAAGGCTGAAAAGATATTGCTTAATGAGAATTGTAATGTTAGGCCTAGAAATTTCATTGTATGATCCCACTCTTGCAATTGAAATGACAGTGCTAAGAACAAGAGGAGAGCGAAGCTTTTATAACCATACAAACAGAGAATAAAGAAAATTAAAAAGTAATTAAAGGTGTAAATTGTATATACGTGTTTTTGTAGTGCTTT